ATTGATGGATTTAAAAATGTAGGTTATGATTCCATTTGAGTACAAAGAATTCTTGGAGAAATTGACAAATCTAGTGAACGGTGGATACATACCTATGAGCCGTATAGACGATGCTGTTCGAAGGGTCTTGAGAGTCAAATTCTTTATCGGTCTCTTTGAGAAGCCATTAGCAGAGGAAACTCTTGACCCCGAGTTTGGATCTGAGGTAAATTCAATTGGACTTTTCGACCATGTCAATATTTTGTAAATAAACCCCAAAAATGTAAATTAATTATCACAAAAACTATCATGAAGATGGCATAAAATTATACAAAGCATGCATTAGTCTTATTATACCTAACTGATGTGGGATTCTTAACACAACAACCTTGTAGGCGCATCGAGAAGTAGCTAAAGAGGCAGTGAGGAAATCAATGGTGCTTCTAAAGAACGGGAAGACAAACGCCGATAAGGTTGTTCCACTCCCGAAGAAGGCGAAAAAGATCCTTGTTGTGGGCCGACACGCTAACGACATGGGCTGGCAATGCGGTGGCTTCAGTCTCACTTGGCAAGGATTCAACGGAACCGGAGAAGATATCGGTCGTAACAAAGCCTTGGGACTCCCCACCGGTAAAACAAGAGGTAATATAAATGTCTAGAGAAGATTTACAATTCACATATGCATTATAATACCTCGGTTTTGTAGATCTTTTTTTGCTATATATAGACATATTCATTCTAAAAATGTTGTTATAAAACATCTATAGGAACTACAATATTGGAAGCCATCCAGAAAGCAGTGGATGCGACCACTGAAGTTGTCTACGTCGAGGAACCAAACCAAGAAACATCGAAGCTTCATCGTGACGCAGCATACACAATTGTGGTCGTAGGTGAAGTTCCTTACGCAGAGACACGAGGGGACAGTAGCACACTAAGCATAGCCGAGCCAGGTCCAGCCACGATCAACAACACGTGTGGTAGTGGGATGAAATGTCTAGTGGTCCTAGTCACAGGACGTCCGCTCGTGATCGAGCCGTACCTTGAAAAAATCGACGCTCTTGCGGTCGCTTGGCTTCCAGGAACCGAAGGACAAGGAGTCGCTGATGTCTTGTTTGGTGATCATCCCTTCACCGGCACGTTATCTCGCACGTGGATGAAGAATGTGGCTCAGCTTCCGATGAACGTTGGCGACAAGAACTACGATCCTCTCTTCCCCTTCGGATACGGAATCAAAACTTGATAAATCAGTAACAAAACCCATCTATAATGCATGTAAATATGTGAAAAATGTCACTTGTGTAACGCTCTTTCAACGAATATTAATCATTTATCTATCTATACTTAAATGAGAAGTCACGAATCCTACGTGGCAGCTCCAGAGTGAGTTTAAGAGTTGATATGTGCAAAATACTCTTAAAAGCCTATGTTATTACGGTCATATGTCATTGACTGCGTTGTAGGCCACGATTGATGATGGCTTAATAATTGTTTGGTTGTTTGGGCTTCATATGGGTTCGATTATAAACGTAAGTTAGTGGGTTTTCAATGTGGGTTTCGATATGTTTTTGGTAGTACATATATTTTTTTTTTATGAATTTTTTTTTGGGAGGTTAGCTAGAATAACTTACTTTTTTAAAAAAATAGCTAGAATAACCTTACTATTTTTTATTGTTGAAATAACTTATTCTAGATTTTTTTTCTTTCATAATACCAAAATTGTCCTTCGCAGA